CCTTTGGATTAGCTCTGCTTTAGACCCCGTGTGATAAGGTCCCTAGTCATGTTGTGAGTAGGGCTGCCAGGTCAGGACTATACCAAGCCCTGACACATCAAGGAACATGCATGAGATCTAGAGATGACCCCAAGTGATGCTACAGAGATGAACCCTGCTGAAATCACAAGGTAAGTAACACATTACTCACTACTGGTGAGTAACACATTAAGCATCAACCACAGCTGCACAAGTAAAAAACACTAAGACTAACAAATGAGAAAAACATATTTGCATACATATTTTAAGGTAGTCTTCTTGCCTTGAAATTCCACTCCACTTTTTCTGAGGACCAGAAGAGAGAAACTAGACCAAGATCTAGAAATTCTACCTTTGCGAACTACCTTGAGTGCCAGTACTGGGGTGAAAGGCAGCATACAAAATCAGTCCATCAGACAAGCAAGCAAACGTACCCAGTTCGTTCATGGCATGACGATACTCTTCATCAAAGGAGAGCTTCATGGTGGCACAGGTTGCTTGGCAGATCTGTGGCTCAATGGGAACAGGACCTGTGACAAGAACAGCATTAGTGACACTGTTAAATCCATTTACATAGTGAGACTGAGTGTGGTGCAGTGGTTTGAGCGCTGGACTACAACTGGAAACCAGGGTTCGAATCCCCACTCAGCCAGGCAAATCCCTTTGGGCAAGTCACACTTTCTCAGCCTTAGAAGAAGACAAAAGCAAAGGCAAACCCCTCTGAATAAATCTTGCCATGAAAACCCTAGGCAAGGGCTTCCATAAGTTGGAGTCAACTTGAAGGCACATAACAACAACATATCTCAGTTAACAAAGCCTCTGACAGCTTCTTTTTACAGTCTTTTTACTCCTGAAAAAATCTGAACGAAGTTGAATTTGGCACTGCTTTTGAACTGAAACAGACTTCTCAACCCACAAACTGCATAAACTCTAGTTTATCCAAATTGCAGGACACCCATACCTCCCACAATGTGGGAAGATGTGGACCAGGATATTCTCCATTTTGAAGGATGTCCCCTTGTCATGCTTTTGTGATAGTTTGGAATTTTTTTTAAGTCAATTTTTTTAAAGGGGGCGGTGATGGGACACAAATTGGCCCTCCATTTCCCCCGCCCCTAGCACAGTATCACAGGCAGACAAGTACTCTAAACTATAGAACACAATGGCAGCTACTAATATCTCATGTCACTGGGGCAGTAAATCCACTGTAGCTTTTAACCCAGGTTTTAAAGTACATCTCTGAGGTGCCAGGAACTATCAGTCACTTTACAGCTAGAGAAACCTGGAATGGATTTTCCATCCCACTGACACGGGATTACCAGCTGCTGCTGAAGAGAAGTCCAGTGAACCCAGAGGGAGAGAGACAGACAAAGACACAGAAAGAGAAAGACAAAGGAAGTTCCTTAACATCTACCTGATGCTCCCTCCTGGGTCTTGATACCTTCCTTGTTGTGCATCTTCAGCCAATCCCAGCAAGTTTCCGAATAGGAGCGGATCTGTTCCAAAATATGGAGAACCCTCATCTCTTTCTTGGCCTGCCCTTCATCTGGCTGGGAGAAGATGATGTTGTGGAGGGCAGCATTGGCACGCATGCGGCAGTCCTTCCCTGTCACCCCAGGACTCTCTGTCACCCCTGGTTCCTGGTCCATATCATGGAGGATCTGGATGAGCAGAGGGAGGCACCCTGACTTCCGCATGGCCAGGCAGCTCTCTTGCGAGCTGGACATGGCTAGCAACGTGCGGGACATGTCCTCTTTGTCCCGTGTGGCCATCATGGAGAGGAGCCAGAAAACCATTTCTACCTGAAGATCAAGAAAGAACAAGAAAAACAACAGCCCAGTGAGGCAGGCAGAAAACGTGCAGTTGCAAATGACCAGTTGCAAATGTCAATGTAGCCAGCAGGAGGCGCTATAGTAAAACCAAGACAAGCAAGCAGCAGAGATAATTTTGGAAAACTTCCAGGAGGAAAGCCAGTGTGGTCTGCCAGTGTGATCTAGTGGTTTTGAGTATTGGACTGGGGAAGCATCGACACTGTATAAATAATGCAGTTGGACACCATTTTAACTGCCATGGCTCCAGCCTACAAATTCTTGGACTTTGTAGTTTTGTGAAGCATCAGCACTCTTTGGCAGAGAAAGCTAAGGCTCTGGTGAAACTACAAGTCCCAGTATCCCATACAATGGAACAACATGACTTAAAATGGTGTCCAACTGCATTATTTCTACAGTGTAGATGCACTCTATGACTCTGGGAGACCAGGGTTTGAATTCCCACTCAGCCATGGAGACCCACTGGGTGGCTTTTGGCATGTCACACTCTCTTGGCATTAGAGCACTGGTTCCTAAATTTTGGTCTTCCAGATGTTTTGGGCTTCAGCTCCCAGAATTCCTGACTGTTGGCCAAGCTAGCTGGGGCTTTTGGGAGTGGAAGTCCAAAACATCTGGAGGACCAAAGTTTGGAAATCACCGCGTAAGGGGAAGGCCACAGCAAACCCTCTCAGAACAAATCTTGCTAAGAAAACCCCAGACAGTATCCAGGAGGAAATTTTTTTCATCTATTTGAGGGCTTTTGTAATGATGGCAAAGCTATGGTAAGACTGTAAGGGAAGCACTCCAAATGCATGATGGTGCTCAGTGTTATTAGTTAGAATTGTACATAAATTTAAGCCCAGAAGAAAGTGGAGGGATAAATATAGAGGAGCAACAGCAACAACACAGTTTAGGCTCAGACTATCTGAGAGATTGTGTCCACCCATATAAGAGGGCATTCTCTCAGTGCCATCACCTTCCCAAGCACATTTGGTGGGGATGCAAGACAGAGTCTTCTTGGTGGCTACCTCTAGGTTTTGTAACTTCCTTTCAAGGAAGGAATACTCTCCACAATTTTACAGATGAAACCCGGGTCATATATGGCCAAGTAACATGTAGTCAAGATGGCAAAAGCTATGAATGAAGAACAACAGACAAACTAGGAGAAGCTGCAGCAGTTTGCTTTTGCCTGTGCCTGCTGGGAAGGACAAGAGTCCACCACCTCCTCTCCACTCCCTGAGTTAATTGAGCACAAACAACTTTTGCACTTTGAATTCAGTTTGAAGTAACTGAAATCAGCTGAGGACAAAGGGGGAAAGTGGGAAGAGGAGAGAAAAACTGGGACATTTTGAAAGCAACTGAAAAGGTGGGACAGCAGAGGATTAATCAGGACAGTTCCTACCAAAACAGGACAGTTGGAGGATATTGGGAGGCAAGGATGGTCCCCTCTCTTTGCTGTCCTTCCATTGGCAGACAAAGATTTTCTTATTCCAACAGGCCTTTAGGGAACTGAATTTTTTTTAAGGAAAGTGCTTTTAAGAGGGCACTTTCCTTCTTCAGTGGTACTATTTAAAAAAATGTAAATTATTTTAAATTATCTTTTACATTTCTTAATATTTCTGATATTTTAATGTTGAATTATTTGTGTGAGGCTTCAAGCTTGAATGCCCCAGCTCTACGGTGACACTGGCTATGAGTGGAATTGTATACATTGAAATGTTTTGGGGATTCTCGAGAACAGAGGAGAGAAAAAAACCCAGAAACCCTGACTGGAAGAAAAGTACAATGGAGTATTGTAGAAGAGGGCATGGCTGGCTTGATCAAGGAATGGAAGCATTCCATGCTGCAGCATTTCATCACAGGCTTGTTTCATTTGTAATCACGGATTTTTTTTTGAATTTTTTATAATCACGGATTTTAAGGGCAAAGGCAGAGCAATCATTTTAAGCCAAATACTTTTTTTTTTTTACCTTGCTGCTGCCAGGATGGTTCTCTCCTTCTTCTGGATGAGTTGGGATCTCAATGTTGCTATCTCCTTCCATGTTCAACAGTTTACCACTGAGCTACAAGTAGAGAGAGGACAGAAATGAGAAGGGATTTAAAAATAAAAATAAGGAACGAGATGCTTTGTAGCAGGCTGGATGGCAGTCAACACAAACTCTACTGCAACTTGCTAGGAATCACTGGTTCTGCCCTATTTGTAAGGACATTTGCCACCCTAGGATCACAAAGTTAGTTTTAGAAGCTTTGCTTTCAAAAAATAAGCAAGCTGTATTATATTAGATCATGTTTTCTACTCATGTTTTCTATTCAGGCTAGGGTTGCCAATTCAGGACATGCCAGGCCCTAAGTTTCTGTGCCAAAACCTGAGATCAAGAAATGAATCCTAGTGCTGCCATTAAGCATTATGCATTAAGTTCCAAACACAGTTGCTCACAGCTTATGATTCAAACATGCGCGCACACACACACACACACACACACACACACAATTACTGGGTGGGGCAGAATTATCTTATTAATAATTATCATCATATTTTTATCCCCCACCCACAGCTAGAGCCATGAAACCTGGGACCCTTTTCACAATACATTTATAGCACTCTTTCCACCATAACCACCTTGGCTGCATCCTATGGTATCCAGAAGTTTGTCATTTGTGAGTAACTAGACCACTCTGGCTGAGAGTCCTAAAATATTTCACAAAACTACAAATCCCAGGATTTCATAGTGGCACTGTATAGTGTGAAAGGCCCCCTGCATAGGGTTGTCAGACTGAAACCCAGAGAGGGCTTCTGTACCTATTATGGTTGTATTCATTATTGTTGTGTGCCTTCAAGTCATTTTTGACTTCTGGCAACTCTAAGGCAAACCTATCATAGGGTTTTCTTGGCAAGTTTCTTCAGAGGCGTTTGCCATTACCATCCTCTGAGGCTGAGAGAGTGCAACCTACCCAAGGTCACCCAGTGGGGTTTTATGCTTGAGCAGGGAAATCAAACTCTCATCTACAAGGTCAATGTCCAACGTTCAAACCACTACACCACAAAAGGAAATTTCATCTGGTGTTGCTTGTCGTACACAATCCACACTTGCTGAGATGCTCCCTCTTCTACACAAATAGGTACAGGAGCCCATTTTGATTTTCACTCTCTGCATTACCTGCCTCAAGAACCATCTCCTATAATTTTCAAATCACTCAGCTGGGGGGGGACAGTGAGATGGGGCAAGCAGCAGATGTGGAGTGTCATGAAAATGGTCAGCCAACAGTTAAAGTCTTTCCTTTATTATGATCCTGTTCTCTTTTTTACTACCTAGGCGCATGGTGGGATTTTCTGCTTTGGGTCAAATAATGACTGCCCCTTGGCTAGGAGGCACCTTAGATCAGTGAAGGAAGGAAGGGATGCCATTTGAGACCCTCCCCGCGTTGTCCTTGCTCCGAGTCCCTCATGCAAGATCTCTCTCTCATGGGCACACGCATATGCTGGCAGCTCTGTTGAATTCAGCATCTGTCCATTGCTTGGCCTACTTCTCATCTCCATAGCAACTGCTTTTTCTCTATGGCGCCAGAGATGCATACAAAAACTGCGCTCCTGCGCTCTCCATGGACCAAGGATGGCAGAGTCGCCCTTCATGGCTTTCTCTGCCATGCTGGGTTCAGCCTGCTTAGCCATGCGGTAGCCATGTTGGGAGCATGAGTGTACTGTTATGTGTGAACCCAGGTCATAGAGCTGGCTGGTACTCCACATGCTCTCAGCCTCAGGGGAAGACAATGGCAAACCTCCTCTGAACAAGAAAACCCCATGACAAGTTTGCCCTAGGGTCACCATAAGTTGGAAATGACTTGA